ATCAGACTCACCAACTTTTTGGCTAATAACACTACTCTAGGTGTCAGTGCAAGGCAAAATGTAAACGAAATAATTCCAGTAAAAAGGGGAATTCACTGACAGTTTCCGGAGGCACTTGATACAGTAGGAACATTCAAAGCTGTTTGTTTCTGAAGCTTTCACCAGTAAAACGGTGTGTAAATCGGTCTCATATTCTGCACCTTGAATGCACTGGCCAAAGGGATTGGTCCTTAGAAATTTCTTTCTTTCAAAGGCACATTCATTCAACACATCGCACCAGCACATCAAGGCGGTCTCGTGTCTGCCACGGAGAAGTTATGTACCACCGATACATCCGCTAGTGAAGTGAGTTGCATAGTTATGCGGCATTAAAGCGGTCGTGACTAGGTGGTTCAAGAGCACCGAGATCATAGCAAGAATGCTGGTGGATTTCGAGACAAATTGCGAATACTGCCGTGAAATTCATCATGGTTGACAGGCACGGGCAGAGCCACGCACGCAAATATGCAAACGTGTCTCACATATCATCAGCGAGTACCTGCACATTAGTCACAGGTATTTAATTAGACCGGGTATGAAAGTAACAGATATTTTCACATCATTGGTAACTAAGATGCATGCAGTCAGATTTGAGATAGTTGAGAGATCAATTAGAACGCATAATTGGAGTTGCGGGATTGCCCTTTAGCCATCGGAGGACCATGAGGATCGTATGACATCGAGGCGGCATTTAATGACGTAGAATGTACCGGTTGCTGTAATATGAACTGTACGGTGCCTGTGGAACTGCTCCATAACCTCAATAATGACGAAAGCGAAATGCTCTACTACAGTAGCAGAGGTCGCAAGTGTTAATACATTAATGGTTGACTGTGAGGGTAGTTGGTGCTGGTTCCACGTTGTGAAGCGTGTCACCTTAAACAATTCATCACGGTCGATAGCGATGTCGTTCATACACACAGGCACAGACACAGTCACAACCACAAATGCAGGCGCACAAACGCACATAAACGTGCCAATGTGGAAGTGGC